AAGGTCCCCGGGGGATGCATGGCCATGAATTCGAGAACTTGCCAGCTTGTAGCCCATTTTTGCAAAGCAAAGATGGCTAGCCCTTGGTCCAGACTTGTACTTCCGGACGACTTGTTGTTGAAGCGAGTCAGATAGTCTTAGAGACTTTTGGTCTCCCCTTGCTGCAAGCCCATTAGCTTTGGAGTCATTTTCTTTCAGTGATTTGCCGTAGGAAATTTGCTTTTGAATTTGGTGGACAGGTAGTCCTAGCCGATGATTGAACCTTCCTTGACCCCCTTGGTGATCCACGCTTGCACGACACCCTTGAGAGTGGTAGGAAAGTACTTGCACCAGGTTGCTTCAGACTTGGGGTTTAGATGCATGTGCCTCTCATAGGAGGCAATATGGTCCTTCGGATCCAAAGTTCCATCATATGTGATGTGCGACGGAATTATCATCGTCGGCACATGCTCTTCCAAAATCCATTTTTTAAATGGAGAACTGGTGGGAAGCATTACGGCCTTCCCCTTGTTCCTAGCCATTGGGACCTCGCTTCGCCCTCTCAAAAGGTAGAAGTGGTTTTATTCCTCGGTCGGGAAGACTCGGGATGAGGCTCAGTACGGTCAGGGTAGGAGAGGCGGCTGTGCACACTCAATTCCCTAGAGCCGAGGTTCATGAACGCTTCGGCGAGCTGGGTTAATTCGCGTCGATGTAGAATTTCTGCTTTTGTAGCTGCGAGAATCGGGATAGGAAGATTCTCCGAAGAATTGGGGGTTCTTTTTTCTTTCCCTCTCAGTCCTCCAAGTGTCTTCCTCCCATTTGTCCCCCAACTCTTTGAAAGATGGAGGCTTTCCCCCCTCCCCTTGATCGGTTCTCCTCCGTAGTTGTCTCAGGTTCTCCTCTAGAGGTGAGCGATCGTGGGGCGGCGGCATGGGGCCAGCTTGAGCCTTCATGACCGCCATGAGGTTTGCCACGGCTCTTTCCACCTCTTCCGTCGAGGGCCCCGTTTGAGGAGTCCTCGGCTGGGAGCGAGAGTGGATGCTTTGAGGCTGGCTCTTGGCATCCGATCGACTCTGGTGATGAGAGATCATCCACTGTCGAGAATGACGTGGCGGAGATGGAGATGGAGATTTATCCAATGGTACCCTCTCCGAGCTGACTCTCCCGGAAGATTGTCCGCTCGGCAGGGGCGATGGAGATGGCGTGTAAAGTGGACCTTTCCCTGCACCCATTTGGATTGGGTTCCTCCTCGAAGGGGAGGCACCGGATTTGTTGACATTTTTGTCGTTCTTACGGTTCTTAGCCATTGTTAATGAGATTGCGTAGAACGATTGAGATTGGCTTCTTTTTTTTTATTGAAAGTCTTCCCCACAAACATCGCCAAATTGTTTTGGGTGAAAATAATGGGACCTTCGAATAGGTCCCTCTGACCAAGTGATGACTGGGCAGAGGATTTCCGAGACAACAAACACACGTAAACTGGCCTCGGGGTTGTGATGAGGAAGGCCCCTCCAATGCCGAAGTTAGTACGGTGGTTTAGAGAGAGAAAACTATGCAAGAGTATTAATTGCTTGAGGCTCTAAGTGAATGAATGTAGAGAGAAAAGAGTGAATGTTTTTATTCCTTGACATTGAGGAGGAAATGGGCCTTGGTCAAATGGGCTTACCATGTTGACTAGCCTTTGACTAACTTGACATGGAATGGAGAGTTGAACTACAAATTTTTACCTAAACCCATGGGTAGGCAAAAGTCCCTACACCCCCCACAAAACGACACACTTCACATATGTATGTCCCGCTATTTTTCGCTTCATAATAATATCTTATATCTTAATATAGTAATTAATAATCCTAACTCACAGGCAATCAACTCAATAAGCAAATTGCTAGCCTAATCGAATCAATTACAAACATATTGCAATGTTGTTGTTGTTGTTGTTATGGCAGCAGTGATGGCGAGATTATGGTGGTTGTTGTGGCGGAGGCGGCAGCGAGAAACGATGATTGTTGACTACTTGTTGTGGATAAATTTGAGTGGGTTGGTTTGAGGGGTAAAATGTAAAGGATTGAGAAGGAGAGAAAATAATAATGAGTGAAGCTCAATCAAATCTCCATTGATAAAGTTTGTGGTTTTACCAAGAAGTATATAACTTTTTTAAAAATATATATATATATATATATAATATATATATATATAATGGTATATAAATTTTATAAATGAACATATAACAATATATACATGAACATTCAAGATATTCCGACCGCTTGAGGAAATATCGTTCTAGGTGCAAGGAACTATTTCCTAGTCATGTTCCTTTTACTAGTTCAATAAATTTGATACATGATCTCTCTTGGTTTCTTTTTTGTGACAATCCTCATTTTTCCTAACCACTATTTTATCTTTACTTATGTATAAAATGAAAATGAACAACTATCAATACAAAATTGAACATATTTTTTGTTGACAAATTTGGTTTTGGAACATTTTTTCCCCTAAGTATCAAGGTATTTGATATGACCTTCTTTGGATGTATGATTTACGATAAATTTTACTAATAAAAAGGGTTAGTTAAGGAGAATGTTATAGTTAGACGTACCTTTTATGTTATTGTACTATTAATGAACATTTAGTGATATAGTAATGAACATTTAGTGATATGGTAGTGATATGGTAATGAACCTATACTCCGTATGTAATTAAAGAGATGATACAGTGTTGAGATTTCAATGAACTAGTAATGATGTGATGATTAATGTGATCATTTTAATATAATTTTATATAGTTTGTCCAATTTGTTTTTTGTAACAAAATGAACATGAATTTGTATAACAATCAACACGATCAAAGTAATTTAATATGGAAATGAACATATATAAATCAACATATGAGTTGAAATTGACCATGACAGATAATGATCGATGAACATGGAATACATACATGAATTAATTTTTGAAGCTTTCATTATGTGATTAACTATATATTCATATGAGATTGAACATACGTTGATGTTCAAACTTATTGAAAGGAACCTTTTTTTTTTATGTGAAAGTGAACAATAATCCAAGTGAATATATTTCAATATGTGAATGAACATATTATAAAATATGTATGAACATATATATTAATTAAAATTTAAATAATCATTTAATAATATGTGAATGAATATATATTAATATCGAAATGAAGATCTAACTAAATGAGAATGTACATCTATTAAGATGAGTGACCAAAACATATATCAACTTATAAATGAACATTTTAGTCTAAACGAGAATGAATATCTAGCAATAATTGACCATTTACTTATCAAAATCTAGACAATTGTACTCAATATTTTATTTTTAGGTGTACAATTTAATTATATGAAAAAGAGCACACCACAACTCAATATAATTTAATTGTAATTGAAAAAAAAAAAACTATAAGAAATCACAAACTCTTAATATAACTTCCTATTAGATCTTTAGAAAATAATTGAAGAAGATGAAAAAATATAAACATTTATCAAAATTTTAATAATCGTATGTTGATGTCTAAATGACCATATACTGTGATTGAACATCTACCTATATACAAATGAACATTCATAAAAAGAATTTTCCATTTTAAACTATAAAAAAATGACAAAAATATGTGAATGAGCATGTACTAATATATAAATGAACAATGAGCATGTACTAATATATAAATGAACATTTATATTAATTATTAATTAACATGTGAATGACCCTGTACTACCTAATGAACATTTTTTAAATTGAAAATGAACATTCGTAAAAAAAGAACTTTCACTACTATGAACTAAATTTACTTTTCTACAGTAATACGAAACTAATAAAATTATCAGAAAATTGCGGCAATTGAACTTTGTTTTCATTTTTTGTCCAACAATATTATTATTATTTTTTTTTTTTTTTGAGGAAACATATTATTATGAATTATCTAATAACACACCAACGATTTAATTTGCTGCAATTGCTTCACATTGATACACTTCAACTGATCAAAAAATTTGTCAAAAAAAATAAAAAAAAAAAACTGATCGAAATCGAAGAGTTTAATTCTTAATACTTCCTCCGTTCTTTTTTTATCGCATCACTTACTACTTTAGGAAGTTTACTTATTATTGCATCATTTCCTTTTTAGGATAAAAAATATCTATGTTCACACTGCAAATACCCAACATACCCTTACTTTTTCACACTTACTTTTTATTTTATTTTACATTACATGGATAATTTTGTATTTTTACATTTCTCTCTCTTACTTTTTCCCACTACCAAATTTTGTCTCCAAAACCCCTATGATGCAATAAAAAAAAACGGAGGAAGTATGAGTTTAGCCTGGAAGAGAAGAAATGAAAGAGAGAAAGAAAATGGGATGGTGATCTGATTGTGAATGTGTTTTTACTTTTAAATTTTATGTGGGTTGGGGAGTTGGGGCTTGTAGCAGTTCGTTGGGTTACTTGGGGGCGGGATGCGGGAGAGTATGGATGAGGGGTGTAGATAGATTTCCCTAATCTTGGGTGTAGGGTTCAAATGACCTTAGACTTTATAATTGAATCATTTATGGATTGAGCCAAGTGGAGTAAATTGGACCCAAACAATTGGTAATATCATGAGACGACGTGAATACACACAAAGAGAAGATCCTCCGCATGATCATTATATGACTACACGTTTCACAGGGCACCGCCTAGCACGATCTAGTTATACTCAAGTCTTGCCTATTTGTTGTTTAAACATTATCATGCAATCTAGATCAAACACATTATCAACCAAATTAATTACTAGTATTAGTATACTCATGAACCAAAAAAGTCAACTCATAACAAATTAATTATTGTTAGTATATTCACGTAAATTATAGCCTCAATATACCTTATATTAATCAATTGTTTGGACAAAAAAAACACATACATTCAATTATATGCTTGTATATACTTGTAATAATTAATTAGCATCTAAGAATATAAATTCTAAAGCCATCCATAATTGTAAAATTAATTTGTTTTTCAAGGAATGGGAATTAGAGGAAAGCTTGAAGTTGAAGTTGAAATTAAGTTTGATGGAGATGTATTTCGTCAACTTTCTGGTCAAGATCCAGAACTTGTTCCCAATATCACTCCAGATAAAATACATACTTGTGATCTTCATGAGGGAGAATTAGGCAAGCTCGACTCTGTCATTTCTTGGTATTATACCGTTGGTAATGTCTACTCATCCTTATTCATATACTTCGTAATAATTGTGATCATACATTCAATTCATAATAATTTATGCATATCATTTAAAATTTAGGGAAATTTTCAATGGTAGCCACGTATTATTGCTTATTCTCAATGGTAGCCAATTTTTTTTTCAATTCTCAATGGTAGCCTCCAACTTTTTAAAAGTTTCCATTGTAACCTCATTTATATACTTCCGTTAAATTTATGTTAAATCTAACCTTATTTCAAACCAAGGTTAACTTTTTTTAAAATAAAAATAAATAAAATAAATAAAAAATAAAACAACCCTCCACACCAGCCACCAACCCTTTCCCCAATCTCCTCCACCGCCAATTTTACCCCAGCCCTTAACCAAGACCCCAATCATCTTCTTCCCCCACCCCCTCTGATTTTCAAGCTCGAGCTAAGTCAACAATGGCGATACTCATGACTGAAGTAACCGTCGAAATTGTCTCACGCCAACCCGTTAAATCACTTCTACGCTTCCAATGCATTTGCAAATTGTAGAAATCCTTAATCAATTTCCCCAATTTCATCAAACTTCAACTCAATCAAGCCCTAATTTCCAACTACGAATCGATTGCTAAAGACGAAGACGACCTTATTTGGGTTGCTATCGAACGATTATCTTCTTTTAGACAATCAAATTTTGCTGAATATTCGTCGAGATGATGACTGTGGTGGCGTGTGAGTTTTCCGCCATTAATGTCCCCAAGTTTGAACGGAACCATCGCGAGTGCATTTGGGGGTATGGGTGAAGAAGGATGTGTTTGAAAGGGGGACATGGGATGTCGGGGGTAAGTGGCAGTGAGTGGGGGTTGGCCGGTGCCGGTGGGCTAGAACGGAGGAAAGAGTTAGGGATGGCAGCCATGAAGGGAAGAAGAAGATGAAGAAAATGGGGATGGGTGGCAGCCATGAATATTAAGGGAAGGAAAGAAAAAATGTTTTAACTGTAGTTAAATTTAACAATTATTTTGTTAAACTCTAGTTAACTTAACAGTTACTTAATATTATTTAGTAAATGAGGTTACGGTTGAAACTTTAAAAAAGTTGAAGGCTATCATTGAGAATCGAAAAAAAAATTGGCTACCATTGGAAAGAAACAATAATACGTGGCTACCATTGAGAATTTCCCTTTAATTTAATTTCTTGTATATGTAAATTTAAGGTTATTACGTTACATTTCGATAAAATAAAATTATGTTACAGATCATACTTTTTAGGAAATTTTTTAAATTACCACCCAAAAATGTTACCATTTTCAAACTAACCACCCATTTAATTTTTTATTTTAAATTACCACCTCTTAAATTAAATAAATGCTCAGATTACCACCCATTTGAAAAATCCGGTGGATTTTTCGTCTGTGGGCCCCACCTAAAGCTTATCTTTACTCTTTTAACTGATTTTTTTCCCCCGATTTTTCTCTTTAACAACGCTCTCCTAACTTTAATTCACATTTTTCTCTTTGAAATTTGGTAGAATTTGGTGAAGGAAATGTGAATTAAAGTATAGAGAGTGTTTTTAAAGAGAAAACTCGTGGAAAAAAGCAATCAAAAGGGTCAAAATAAGTGTTAGGTGGGGCATACAGACGGAAAATCCACCGGATTTTTAAAATGGGTGGTAATCTGAACATTTATTTAATTTAAGGGGTGGTAATTTAAAATAAAAAATTAAACAGGTGGTTAGATCGAAAATGGTTATATTTTTGGGTGGTAATTTAAAAATTAACCTACTTTTTATTTTCTTTCAAATTTATTGCAACACTTTGACTTTAATTTTGTGATAATGTATCTCCATTTCATAATTATGTCAACATTACAGAGTAATTTATTTTATTAAAATTTCTAATTGTGAATGTGATATTTTAGAAAACATAATATATTGAGATACACCATATTATTAAATCATTCATCAAATAAATAAATACACAAAATGATGTCATAATTAGGGTGTGTTCTATTCACCTGATTGTTACTGATGATCTGAACTTATTAGGCTATTAGCCCTTATTAGACTTTATTTTAGTTATAAGTTAAACTTGGGAAACTATGATTAACGCTTATCACAACTTATCTGAACTAATTTTTCCTGAATTTATTTTATCTGAACTTATTAACCCTAAGTAGAAATAAGGTGAACATAACAGGGTTTTATTAGTAAAATTTGTGAATAGTGTCAAAATTTTGATACTAATGTCATTATGAACATGTATTGAAGTCTGATTGTCTAGAGTTATATATAGTCAAGTACTCCCTCCATTCCACAATAATGTTCCTGTTTTTTTTTTTAAATAAGAGATAATCTTCTAAATTTCTCTCAATCTATAAGAAAAAATATAGTCATGTGAGAGCTAGTTTGATTAGTCTTGATGAGTACATTTTTATATCTAACTTTTATAATTTTTGCTAATATGATACTAAACATAATTGCGGTCAAAGATAGGTAAAAATTTACATCGATTTACGTAAACAGTAATTCATTATAAAACGGAGGGAGTAATATATTAATCAGTATATGATGCATGAATTGCGTATGAGAAGAAATGTGTTGCTAAGGAGATAGTTGAAGTCATAGATGAAGAAAACAAATTTGTGGGATTCAAAATTATTGAAGGTGATCTCCTTGAAGAGTTCAAGAGCTTAACAATAAGTATTCATGTGATTCCTAGAGGTGAAATAACAGTTGTTAAGTGGAGTGCTGAATTTGAGAAAATTGCTGATGATGGGCCTTACCCAACCCAAATTATTGACTTCTGCATAGGTATTACCAAAGATATTGAGAGGCATCATATCAATGCATAAGCATTAATTAGGCTATATGCCTATATATGCATGAATATTTCTAGCCTTTGTATGGTTGAGTGACTGATGAATCTGATGATTGAGTTAGATGAAGAATCTAATATAGTACACATATATATACTTCATTCTCTTTAAGTTGTAACACTTACAAATTTATTTGCACGACTCTTGTTCTCTCATGAATTTTTTTTTTTTTTTTTTTTTTATGTTAAGGTTAAAGTTAGGGTCTGTTCTGATTTACTGAAATGAGCTGAACTCAACTGATTAGAGCTGAATTAACTGAGCTGAACTGAATAGAGCTAAAATGGATTGTTTATAAGAGAAGGAAATAAAGAAATGAACTGAACTGATTGGAGCTTAACATAACTGAACTGAACTAAAATTAAGCTGCAGAAAACAAACCGTTAGTCATGTGAGGTTTTTTTTAGATTTGTTTCTATTTATATATTTTCATAACATTAGACTTTTATAAATTTTATGCTTCTTTTTGGACCAATAGATTAGTAACACGTGTCTGATAACATCTGAGGTTTTTTTTTTAGATTTGTTTCTATTTATATATTTTCATAACATTAGATTTTTATAAATTTTATGTTTTTTTTGGACCAATAGATTAGTAACACGTATCTGATAACCTATTATAATAGGTTATCAATATCTCTAAAGCAGAGACTTTTTCAATAATAATTCAAAATTGGGAAAGAAATTCAAAGTAGGATTATCAAAAACAATTTTTCATTTAAATATCACATTCATTAACACATGTACAATCAAGCATTTGTTTGCGTAATACTTCATTTATTCGCTTTTAGTTGCAACACATCTAGATCTACACAATTCACATTCATACGACATTTGACCTTATTTATTGATTGAATTTGTACATCAGCGAGGGTGGAAACAGTGGACGAAGTCAAAGTGTTAGAACCAAAAGTGAACGGAGAAAATACATTTTTAAAAAAAAATTGGTACTCGTATACTGATTATATTAAGAAAAATGTTATATATAGCTCTAATAAGGGTTGCACATAAGAAGCTAAAATAAGGAGAGTTTTAGGAAAAAAAAAAACATTGACTACAATGATTTACATGTGTTTTGGTCATGAATTTTAAATTTATACTTTATACAATTAGTGTACTTAATGATAAGGCTGCAATAAACATTATCATCGCCCTATTCATCATTTTACCTTATTCTTGTTGAACTAAAATTATTTTTGCTGAATTGAAATTATTTGTACGCAACTGAAATTAATTTTATTGAATTAAAACTATTGTAACTAATTTTCTATTATATTTTTTCTGTAAAGTTACTGATTAATACTGAATGAACTTAATTTTACTGAATACACCCTCCATTTTAAAATACTTGCTCCATTTTTTATGTGCGGAGTTTATGAGAAATTGAAGAAAGTAATTAAAAAAAAATAAGAAGATATGGGAAAAATAAAAAATTATAAAAAAAAACAAAAAAAAGTAGTTGAGAGAATTGGAGAAGAGAGAATATGAAATTAATAAAATATTTATGTTGGACCCACTAGGTGAGAGAAATGAATTAAATATTGTAAAAAGATTTCCAAATAAGAAAATGAAACAAATACTTACAAACGGCTGCAAAAGAAAAGTGAACCAAGTATTTAAAAACGGAGGGATTATAAATGAACAAGACTTCATACGGAGTAAATTTCTCAATAAATTCGTTTTACACAAATTCTTAAATGAACATGGTTCACACTAATTTATTGTGGACCACTAAGGGTTTGTTCTCATTGACTGAACTTAGCTGAACTGAACTGAACTGAATTGAGCTGAACTGAACTGAACTGAATATTTTATAAGAGAAGGAAATTAGGAGCTGAACTGAACTGAACTGAACTGAGCTGAACTGAACTGAACTAAATTTCAACGTAAGAGAACAGACCCTAATATTAGATAAACTATGGTTGTTTTATTTTTTAAATAAAAAAAAGTCACTATAATAAAAATAAGGTCACTATGTTGAATTAAAAGTCATTTTCGTAATATATAGGCTATAAGAGGTTAATTTTTTTAATGCAATATTTTATATACGAGTCAATATGAAAAATAAAGATCTCTATGTTAATATTTTATATACGCCGTATTCAAGTTCCCAATAATATTAAACGTTATACAAGTTTTAATAAAAGTTATTATGTTAAAAATAAAGATCACTATATTTATGCCAGTTACATATGTATAAATCTCGGGTTCACAATAATATAATTGTAGACTAGGTCCATGCAAGTCATTTTGTTTTAATTCATGGGGCCTTAATTTATTCGATGTAATCATAACCACAATTCCACACACCCCAAATTGGCAAATTCCCAACATTCCCTGCCATGGACAATCTCCCTCCACAACTAATCCTCGTAATCTTTCACAAACTCCTCAACTCATCCGATCTAATTCGTTGCAGACTCACCTGCAAAACCCTCAATTCTCTCTCCTACGATGTCACCTCCATCAACCTCCTCTGTTCTGACACCCACTACACACAATCACGATCTCAAGCTTCTACTCTTCAATTCAAATCCAACTTCACTCGTTTCATCCTTGGACTCTCACATCTCAATTCAATTACCATTGGAGTCGATGAATCGCTCCAGAGTTTATCGTACGTTGACTTGGAGGATGATGGTGATGATCTTTATTTGACTGATGCTGAGTTTTTTTCGGTTTGGTTGGGTGAAATTGGTGATCGCTTGAAAACGCTGTCGTTTTTGGATTTCTGGGTTCAGTCTTGTTGGAGGCGGTCATTTGTTCTTCCCTTGATTTCTCGCCATTGTGAGTTAATTTGGTTTTTGTTTATTTGAATTGGGGTTGTTTTTAATTGGATTTTTATGCTGATTATTGTTGCTAATAGTTGATTAATTGGAAATATATTTTACAAAATTCTTACTTTGTTGGAATTTGATTGCTTTATTTTGGTATATTTAGATATATTAGCTGATTTAGCTCATATATATTAGCTGATTTAGCTCATATTTGAGTTTAGTTAGTTGATTTTTTTACATATTGATTATATGCAGTTTTGGGGAAAATAAAACCTAGATGTTAAGGGCTTATAATTTTAAATGTAGTTGATATATGCTTTATCGCTTCAAATGGATAGGGTGAAATACAAGTTCAGAGAGAAACTATGTTAACTAAAAGTCTAAAACCTTCATTTCAATTCAAGTATCTATGTTGGATTCTCGACACTTCACTTGGGTATAGTCGTAAGGTAACAAATTTACTCATGAGATAGCCAGGTGTGACACTTGAAAACTTACCACTGCTCAACATGAGAATGTGAATACGAATGTGACTATCATAGGAGATATGTACTCATGGGTGTAATGTAATGCAATTAAGATGCCTAGTCACTTTACCTCATGACGTTGGTTTGAACCTAAATGGTTGATGCGATGTAGTGACAACCTTAATTTTTCACGGCTACAAAAAGGGGTGTTAGTGAAATTCGAGTAGGAAATACTCCGTTTGTACTTTTATCTCATATGCCATCTAGAATCTAGATGCATATGTTAGCCGTTTCTTGCCAGAAACATTTTTAATCTAGGACAAATATACAAGATTAGAGGGTGAACTAGGTTGAGGGGTTTGCGGGAACTTGGCAGAGAGATGAGTTGGCAATACTCCATGGTAGGATGGTTAGGAATTTTCTATTCTATAACTATAAGCCAACTCTTGTAAATTTGGTGTCCACCTAAAATGCTTGTAATGCCCTTTATCTTTTTACATACTTTTTAAAAAGTGGTTATTATATTCCTTCCATCTTATAATTACAGGCAAATATACTATTTTGGGTGTCCCAAAATGTTCCTTCTATTACTAAAATAACACCTAATCATTACTTACTTTTTAGCTTTTCCATACAAATTACACACATACCTAAAAAATCATTACTTTTTCTCTTTTTCATAGAGTAAAGCACAAATACGGTCCCTGAACTTTCGTATTTGTGCACTTTTAGTCCCTCAACTTTCATTTGTGCACTTTTGGTCCCTCAACCACCACTCTTGGTGTTTCTGACCAAAAGGTTGAGGGACTTATCCTAATCAGCAAAAGTTTAGGGACCATGAGTTATTATTTATTTATTTTTCTTTTTTTTTCAGCTATTGATATTAATATTTATTACTTACTTTGACTAAAATAAGAAAGCAAACTTTAATTAGTAACCATTTAAACACCACCAGCACCCTCCTTGTACCACCACTCTCTCACCACCATTTAGATCTGAAACTCCACCACAACCACCAAAAACCCACCCGACCAACTCGCACCACCAGCAACACCCCACTTAGTAACCACCCTCTCACAGTCTAACCACCACCGAGATCTGAAACCCCACATCACTACCCTTAAGATTGAAACCCCACCTCATCACCACCACTTGAAACCCCACGTCACCACCCACCAGGCCACCAACGAACCGAAACCCCCATATCACTAACCACCATTAACAAACCAAAACCCCACATCACCAGTCACCAGCACCACCAGCGAACCAAATCCCAAACTCATCACCACCAATGAATCGAAACCCCACCTTACCATCACTTAGATCTGAAGCACACCTTACCATCGCAGAGATCATAAACGCACAACCACCAATACCTACCTCACCCATATTGGTAAAAAAAAATCATCAAACCCTACCCAAATTACAAATCGAAAACCTTGAAAAGGGAATGAGGCCCCAACTTTAAAAAGGGGAAAAGGAGGCGGCGACGAACTGACAAGGTGGAAGACGGCGACTATGATGAGAACGGATACGAATCGATCGAGTAGTGGTGGTGGTGGTGTGGTGATTGTGAGAGAAGAGGGAGCCATTGTCGGAGTTTGGCTAATTTTTTTTTATGGGTGGGAGCCATTGTTGAAGGAGATGAGGGAGTTGTAAGCCATGGAATAATTATTTAAATCTGACAAAAAAAAAAAACAAAAAAAAAAATATTATCACATTAAGGTTAATTATGAAAGTAGGATTAAATTTTGGTTATACTGATTCAATTGGGCCACGTGGCTAATTTCAGTCCTAAACTTTTTTCATCATCACATTAGCCACCTCACTTATAAAGATTCTTATTAAATAAATAAATCTGAAAAAAAAAACAAAAAAAAATATTATTGCTGAATCAAGGTCCCTAAACTTTCGCTGACTAGGCAAGGTCCCTCAACTTTTATGTTAGAAACACCAAATATGGTGGTTGAGGGACCAAAAATGCACAATTGAAAGTTGAGGGACTAAAAGTGCACAAATACGAAAGTTTAGGGACCGTATTTGTGCTTTACTCCTTTTTCATACAAAGTACACACATACCCAAACAATCATTACTTACTTTTTAACTTTTCTATACAATATTCTCTACTTTTTATTATCCCTATACGACATTCTTCACTTTTTATCTTTTTCATACAATATTCCTCTACTTTTTCCATCCTCCTTAAAAACCGTGCTTTTTAGAGTTATTTTTCTGTAATTATGGGACAGAGGGAGTAGGTGTTTTTGAAATTTGAAGCATGTATCACATGCATTTAAATCTGGTAGAAATTAGATAAGCTATATTGAGTTGGAGGAAGGTGGGATGTTAAGTTTTAGAGGTTTCATAAGCAGTCCTAAACTTTTGTTATAAGCTCTCTTTAATTATACTCCTTGGTAAGGTGCATGACCAACCAAATACAGTTGATGCTGATTATAAAATTTGAAACTCTCTGTAATTTATACGCCTGGTTAATGTTTAGCATACAAGTTATAAGTGAATTAGAAAGATGAAACTGGTGGTTTATCTTTGGCTCGTCAATATTTACCTGTGTGAATTTGGTAAATACTGTCTGGAAATTATATGAGCTGTAATTAGATAAGAAGATGACAGAGCTAATATATAATGTCACAACAGGAGTCCACTCACCATTTTCCATAGGGTTATGCTTTTTGTAACATGACTAGTGACACAAAGTTTATTGTTTTAAGTATCTTAGTTTTTACTTGGTTTGACTTATTATCCGGACATCCCTACTTCAATCAACATGTAAAACTCTTTCAATGTTTGAAACAATTTAAATGTCAAGTAGAATTTGCAGGCATAAATAAAATTATACAACATAGCTTCCTGAATTCCCTAAGATGTAAATACATTTATACTAGGCTCTTTTCAAAAATGTACATGAACTGTTTTCTGTTCATGGATTTCAAGACACATTGTCGATTTCTTTCTGTCACAAATTCGTGTTCCTTCCAACTACATTTTTCAACTAACTGGACTTTGAAGCTCCTGCATGCATCTCCTCGAGAACTAATGGGCTGTTAATTTTACTGATGTGCAGGTCATAGGCTAAATGAACTTACAATTAAGAACACTTGGTTATCTGTTGATGGGCTGAATGCAATGACTTCTCTTACAAGTCTAACACTTGAAACTCTACGACTTGATGATGAAAACCTGTCAAAGGTAAATGAATGTTTCCCTTGTTTGCAGACTCTGAATTTGTTAGGTGTTGGAGGACTCAAAGAGCCTAAAATTTGCCTCCAAGTCCTTAAGACCTGTCAGTGGACCGTGTCAAGTAATTGCACCCAAGATGGTGAAGCTGAAGCTTAAATGTGTTAGGCCAAAAGCACTTGTCCTGGAAACTCCACTGTTGTCGGACCTCGATCTTACTTTTGAAAAATCTGACACTTTTGAAATAGGAGAACAACCTCACTTGAAAAAATTGCATCTTGAGTCAAGCAATCTCTGGAGCCTCATTGGCTCGTTCTCGTGTTTTAGTGCTGTTAATGAGTTGATTCTAGAGTCAGTAAAGAGTGTTGAACAATCCGAGGCAGAATATCCAAACTTTGGTTTTTTATTTGATGTTTTCCCCAACTTAACCTCTTTGAGTCTGGGTGCTGGTGCTTATGCAAACACGGAGGCTTCTTTTGATCTCACGGATTTATATGAAAGAATGGGGATGAAGAGTCTAAAGGACTTTACAGCATATTTGGTGATCACAGACGTTGATCGTGCTATCTCTTTTGTTTCTTTCGTCATAGACAAATGCAAAAACTTGTCCGTAATGTCATTGCTCATCCATCATGAACTAGATCCTGTGATTGGCAGCAATTTCATCTCAAAATGTGTCGCATTATTTCCCGTACTTCGATGGAAATGGGGATTTTGGAAGGCAGGTACCAAAGATACCTGGGTGTGATGGTGTCTGATATTTTCATAAAGTTGGAACTTGGAAGGTACTAGAACATCCTAGAGCTATTTTAGCACAGCTGGGTTAGGGTCACAATGAAGACATGTTCAATTGTTCATGCCTAAAAGGGAAGATGATTAATATTATAGCATGGGATCATGGGTAGACCTGGTTATCAGGACATTGGATGTGCAGGTTAGTAGCTTGTCAAATTGTAAAGGGTCTTTTTTCAAAGTCACAAAGGGTCAGGTACTTGATAATGGATGGATCGAACAAAGGAATATGATACAGGAGAGAGAGGCTAGTCAGCATAAATGATAATATATGAAACTACCAAAAGGTTTTGCCTTGTGGTTGCCTATTTACATTATTTGTATATTTCATTGGGTCTAATTTAGACCGAAAATGTAAATTAATATGGAACTATACATGTTAAGGATACTCCGTATTTTATAAGATATCTTTACAAGTCTTGTTGGTTGCATCAATATTTTATTTTTCTTCTTTTATTTATCATTTTATTTGACGCCATTCTTCTTGTTACATTTGTCAACACATAATTTCAAATAAAAGGCAATAAAGGAAATATTACCTCTTGCTTTATAAGATTGTACCATTAAAAAAAATGATTTCATTACCACTTAACAGATTTCATCCAAGAATTCTTTAATTAGTGGGCCCCATCACATCACGTGTCACTAATCTATTAGTTAAAAAAACTTAAACACTAACCCAGCCACCACCCCCACCACCAGTAGCCCTACCTCATTGCCGGCACCCCTTACCCCATCCCACCCGCTACCGAAACCCCTTTCCCTGACATTCAGCCCCCCAAAATGACCCCTTCCCTTTCCCCCGGAACCTTATAAATGTTCTTTCAGTTCAAAACTTGAGACCAACTAGCAAAAAGTCCTTCAAAATTTACTTTGGCCCAGTAAGCTCGACACTATCTTACAAGTTTAGATACAAGATATTGTTAAGGTCCAATTTGGGCCTATTGATCGCCTCTAAAATTAGTGACCCGAGAGTGATAGTAATAGTTAGTTGAACCCTTGAACCGATCATTTGTGTACGTGAAACACGAGTTCATGTGTTTGTGGTGGATATACGCCCCATTTCATGAATGGACAAATACCTGTTTAATGAGAAAAAAGGCCCAATATAATTCAAATTACTGAGGTGTGTATGTAATTAACTGGTGAATTGGTGATGATCGATGCTTTTTCGTTTTCTTTTGTTTTTTTAATTAAAGAGATAAGATAAATTAATTATGCACCATAATGATACTTTGAACATAAAAAGTTCTGGTAATGATGCTTTTTTCTAGTGTGTAACATTTAAGGAATGCCAAAAATAATTTTTAATCTCACCATTAATACATAGCCACTAATACATATTGCACATATGTTGTCTTGGCCCATGTAGTTATAAAAGAAGACACTCAATTGATCGAATCAACCCTCTCTAATACAAACCATAATCTCCAAATAAAAAGTCATACGAAACATTAGTGATAGACTGATATAATAAGCTGAGTCAAATGGAGTGGATGAAGACGACAAAAGAAGAGTGTTAGTCTAGTACTAATGCTCTCTTTTTTGGTGGTTTTATCAACCAAACCTCAAACCACCTCGGCTGTTCGGCCACTTGGTTACCATACCCTCTCAAACATTATGTTTGAAGGGATTGGTGTCGATACTGAACCTCTCACTTGCGCGGGTGAAAGGGAGCTTAATAACTGTTATAATTGAACCACCAAGCAATAGATAAAACAGTTCTACAATGTTTGTTTGGCCTGACTAATGATCCAACAATGGTCAAGTTTACATGTATTTGGACTACTCAAGTTTCTCAAGTCCTATATATTGTTGTCATCAACAATGTTATGCTCCATATTAATATTATCTCTGTTTTAATAAGGGAAATTGTTATCCCAACTATGGTATGTTGTTTTACATATGATTTGATGGTGTAGTTTCATAGTTTGTACTCCGTATTTGTTGAATTCGGCTACAAGGTAGAGTATAAGGTGTAGTTTGTTATGTTGTTTTACATATGGTTTGATGGTGTAGTTTCATATTACAAGAATGCATGGTCCGGCTATCTTGTCATATGTATAATTAAAAATATTTTAGTTGTTTCTAATAATTTCTCTGTCTTCTTTTATTCTTCTTGTATCAGTTTGATGGTCATTTAAAACTTAAATTATTTTATCAATTTTGTAAAAATGAAATTAAGGCTCTATTCTATTCATGATAAAATAATACTCCGTAATATTTATGAAGATAATTTAAATTTAACAAAATTAATATTAGTTTAATAAAAATAAATTTTAATCACTTTCTTCAAAAAGAATAAATATTAATCACTAAAAAATAGTAAGTTCAAAGAATAAATATAATCCTACATTAGTAAATATAAGTTTTAATCGATAATTATAGAGTAGTAAATTAAAAGAACAAATAATGTAGTAAATAACTACAAATAAATTTTAATCCGTAGAAATATTCTAATTTTAGTAAAATTAATTGGAGGAGCATTATTGTTATAGGTTGTGCCAATTTGTGTTTATATATGTATAAATAAAGTTATGAGCTATATGACTAATTAAATTTGATTAAGGGTCTGTTCACATTTACTTAATTTCAGTTCAGTTCAACTCCTAATTTCCCTCTCTCATAAAATATTCCTTTCAGCTTAGTTTAGTTCTATTTTGTTCAGTTTAGCTCCAATCAGTTCAGTTCAGCTCTAATCAGTTCACTTCAATTCAGCTCAATTCAATAACTATGAACAGACCCTAAGTTACTAGATTTCATTAAAAAAAAATTCATTTTATAAAGAGTGGTTGAACTAGATGTGATCATTAGGCGGGTCGTGCCGAGGCCAAAAAACCAGCCCACTTCTCGGGCCATGTGTAATCAGGCTAAGCTCGGGGCTGAAAATTTTGTGCCCAAACCCGCCCAAAATGGCCGGGCCATGCGAGGTTTTCGGGCCATTTTTGGCTTGGCAAAAAAACAACTAAAAATGCATTTTCAACCTTGTCCAAAAAAAATCCGGGCCAGGCCGCACCCAACCCGATTTCGAGCCAAAAAATTCCGCCCAAAACCCGACCAAAATCGGGTCGGGCTAACTTTGATCATGTCTAGGTTGAACTAATAAATCTTTGAATTCCTTAACTTAATAAAACCGTGTGTTGCGTGAAACCTAAACTAGCACTTCGTATATGATTAACTAGTTAAAGTCCCGTACAATGCACGGATTTTACTAAATTATATAGCAAAGTACAATATTAACTAACAATTATATACTTCGTATACTTTAAAAAAAAGAATTATAGTATCCTAATATACTACTTAATTATGCTCATTTTTATAACAAAATTACTTAACATAAAATTTATACATAGAAAAATATTTTGTTTGAGTAGTGTATGGAAAAAATATAATTGCCAAAGTAGAAGGTGAATAATCAATCAATAACTATATACTATATATTTTGTTTGAGTAGTGTATGGAAAAAATATAACTGCCAAAGTAGAAGGTGAATAATCAATCATCAATAAATATATACTAAAAGACATAACAGTAATGACACATGTCATCTCCTGGTGTGTCCTTAGTGTTTTTTGAAATTATATTAAAGAAATAAAATCTATACAAAAATAATTCCCTAATATTATATAATATAATTACTAAAAATAAGAGAATTCGACATATTTTTAACATAAATTTTTATATAGCTATAAAAAAATTTTCTTAACATAATTTTGATTATTTTTTACATCATTTTTTATTTAACATATCTTTTGTAATTCAGTAATTTGATCAAAATTTGTCAATTATATTATTAGTTTTTTATGTTTATAAAAATTAAAAACTAATTATAATAATGATAGTTTAATAATGGTTATTTAAAATTACCGTGCATGGCACGGGAATTAACCTAGTATAGAATATAAATGCTTTTCATGAAGTATAGACCCCCCCAAAAAAAACAAAAAAAAATGAAGGGAAAATTTTTAAGCAGTGAATGACATGTGTCATCACTTGTTTCGCTTTTAGTATTAATTTTTTATTGAAGGATAGTATTAAGTTATTGATAACTTAGTATTCCCTCTAAATTTTAAATATTTGCTCCACTTTCTTTTTTCGGCCGTTTTTAAATACTTGCTTCATTTCCTTATTTCGAAAAGTTTTTTTTACAGTATTTATAAATCATACGGAGTATTTTATTAATGTCATATTCTCTCTCCTCCAATTCTCTCCACTACTTTTGTTTTTTTTTTTTTTATAATTTTTTATTTTTCCTCCTACCCTACTACCTCCATATTTTATTAGTTTCTCCAATTTCTTCTAAAACCCCGCGCATAAAGAAATGGAACAAGTATTTAAAAACAATGGGAGAATTAAGTTATTCATTACTGATTGATTTCATAGTTATGTGACTAACATTGCGTTGTATTTTAAAAACATGTTGGGTCTTGTCGTGCTTCCGCCCTATCCCACTCCCATGGTAACGGGCTACAACCTAGACGCCTAGCCTACCTTTACCCTCGACCCATGGAGCACCCATCGTAGAACCGTGGTCTGTGGGTGCTCTACAAAAGCAAAAAGTCCTAATCCCAAAAATTATACACAAACTAAAACAAAACACAAAAATCTTGGAGCTTGCATTGGTTTTTCAGGATCCATGATTAATAACAGCAACACAACCAAGTAATTGCAGTAGTACCCTGAATCACTACAAGTCAAATCTCCCCGATTTCTCTCTCTTTCTTTCTCAAATCCCAAAATCACAAAATCACTGAAAATTCAGATTTAAGAGAGAGAAAATGGTGACCAAATTAGACGAGACTGAGTTGAAGAGATTAGAATCTCAAGTTGAGCATGGTGGTGGAGGTGCTTGGGAATACCTTTGTTTGGTTCGTAAACTCAAAATTCGACGCTCTGATAAGGTTTTGAAGCATGGATTAACGATTTTGAATGACCCCAAGAAGCGATCTGCTCTTGCGGATGAAGGTACTGTGGAATTCAATTGAATTTGTTTTAATTGTATTATGGTATTGGTTAATTTTTCTGGGTTTTAATTTGATTGTCAGTTCATCAATTTGGTTATTTACATTGATTAATGACATTAATTTGGGTATTTATTGTTGGGTATATTCCAATTTTCATGTTGGGTGATTGGAGTTTTGGTAATTGATGGTTGTTTTTTGATTAAATGTATTGTTGATTGGAATTTGTTTTTTTTTTTTTTGGTGATTAGGGGTTTTATTTGAATAATTTTATGCTTGCAATCGTACTCGAAATTCGCTTACTTCCATTGATGTTGGATTTAATTTGGATTCTTTGTAATAAGCATATTCCAATTTTGATGTATTGTTTGATTGGGAGTTTGGGACATTGTTTCCAGGTATTAACGATTAAATTGAACTTTAGATGTATCGTGGATTGGAATTTGGTGATTTATCCTTGCACTAAGATTAGTAGTGGTATAATCATATAATGGGCTAAAAAAAAATTATGCTGCCCAAATTCAATCGCAGACTAATCTTTGATGTAGTCCAGTTTTACTGAAGTGACAAGAATTAGTTGGTGAGTATAATTGTGTGAGAGTTTCTAATTGTGTGCTTGGATGCAATGCTGAAGGGTTAGGAAGGGACGGTATAGGTAAGGGTAGTCGGGTAGACGGTGGAGTGGGCTTGTGTTTTGCCTCCAAAGCTTTGCAAAGGATTTGGTTTATCAAAGTAAATATTTATTTTCTTTTCCCTTCTCTCCTCTTTCTCCTCTTTGTATCCAAATTAATGATAAAAGGATCATCATCCTTGCTCCCCAAATCTTCTAAGCCGTACACACTATAAGTTTGAGAAATTATTTGTTAACACTTGACAAAGATTTTCAGGCTCCCCCATGTGAGAGTCAGAGAGTACAGATATATATTGGGGTATACTAAATTACTAAGTTGAGTTTTCCTTAATTATTGTTCGGTGTGGTTTGTAATTGCCTTATTCTGTATTCAAAGGACAGTTTGTGTGTGCTACTTCTGCCACTACTATTCTTTATTGGATTGTGATTTAAGATAGTTCTTAGATAATGCAACAGTTTGGTAATGGGCTTATCTTATGCTACAAAGTAGGAGATCCAGATTCTAATTTCATTGTTTTGTCTAGTAAAATTTGGGGCTATATGTGTATATCCACCTCATAGCTCTCTTTGTGTGCCTACTTTTATGAGCAAATGAGCTTAGGTTGTGATCTTTAGCAACTTTGTTGAAAATTTAATTTACTGATGCTAGACAGAAATAGGAAAACTTTCCCTAATTTATACAGTTTAATATTTACTTTTTCCTACTTTTCTCTTGAGAAATGTTGTCTTTTCATCTCTAGTGGAATTAGTTGTGCTACTTTTCTTAAGTAGGTTAAGGGTATAACAATTACATGAGTACCAGATTAAAGGATAGGTTACAAAATAGGATATGTAATTTGTACTGGTTGGTAGTTATTATTTGTGTTTTGTGTAGAAATTTTAAAACATGGGTTTTAGGTCTCTTATCTAACTATAATATTTATTCTCTTTTGTAGAATGGACCTTATATGAACAAGTTGCCATTGCTGCCATGGACTGTAATTCTCTTGATACAGCGAGGGTATGTAGCGGTGAATCATGCCATCTATGTTTATATGTTAATCAATGCTTAGTTCACTCCCAACTTCCCAAGTCATTGTCTTGCCCCACAAGATATGCTTAATACTCACCAAATAGATAAAGCTGGTTCATTTCTTAATCACAACTCACAAGAGATGAATTACCTGTCATTTGTTTTCCTTTATGGATCTGTTGATGTTAAATTTTTGCAGGACTGCATTGAAGTTCTGAGCAAGAAATTCCCAGACAGCAAACGAGTTGGTGAGTTGTTCCCATTGATTTGGCTTTTACTTGCTCCATTATCAATTACATTTGATAGCTTGTTGCATACAGTGATACAAGTCTTCTTTGTTTTTATGGGAAGATAAACTGTGATTTTTTAATTTTTATTGGATCATAAGAGATTGGGTTTTACATTTACACAATGATGTTTATGTTAACCTATTGATTCCTTCAACATTTGTGTGACTTCTCATGTACTGAACCCTGTTATCTTTTTTTCTCCTTTATTTATAAAAATAAAATTGTTTTGTGGTATTTACTTTTGTTTGTGTTAATACATTGTATTAAGAGACTTGAAGCAAATTTGTGTCTTTTTTTTTTTAATAAATATTTATATATTAAATTGTGAGGCAAGTAACTTAGGTTTAGAGTGAGATAGGTCGCACTTGTATGAGTTACATTCTTTGATGGAAGTAGACGAATCTATTTGTTGGCGAATATGATCAAGGAACTAAGAAAGATGGCTATTTGCTATATGTTACTGTGTTTCATTCTACTCAAAAGTAAATTGGGTTTTGAACAAACTTATGGTTCATAATCCATATTGTGTGCAAGGGTCACTTAAGCTAGATGTTGCATTCCATTTGTTATAACTTTATTTAAAAGGTCAATGTTAATGTGAATTACATATAGTTTGATATGGAATTTCTATGCCTATGTTCAGTTAATGCATCTCCACTTGCAATTGAGTTTTTCTTTGTTTATGTCTGTTGCCACTCACTACTGCTGAGAATGTTGATAAGAACACAATGCTGAAAGACACATGTATGCTTCTTAACCTTGGATTTCCAACTCATTCACACCATACTACTCAGAAAGTCTATTAATCTTCAAATGATTATCTCAAATCGAAAAATCTGTCAGCGTTACAGCAATAATAAGAACAAATGCATATTGTGAGGAACAAGTTGGTCTATATTATGTGAAAAAGGGATGCACAAGGAAGTTTTGTTTTTTTTTTTTCATAATAATTTTGATTAATCAATGAAATTATATAATGGAAAATACATAATGTTTGTCCATAAAGAACAAGGCATTTTCTATATTAATATGTGAAATGGATATGGTCTGTAATTTCATTCTGTAATGGTGTTGGTTTTGGACCTCTTGTCAAATGAAAATAATGTTGTTGGGTCCAACTGACGAAACAAGGTTATATGGTCTAAGAAGTCTTTTATTTTGAGCATGATGTATGCATTTGAGTGAACCAAAGCACATAATCATTCTGCTTCCCTAATTAGCAGCATCATATCAAATTGTTATTGTTAATAGCGGTTGTGGTTTCCTGCTTTAATTGTTTAATTTAAAGTCTAAGGAAGACGAGGATTTATTAAATTCTGCTTAAGGTCTGGGTAATGTCTTTTGGTTGAAGGAATGTTGTGATAGAGGAGGATGGCCGAAAATTAAAATATTGTGACTTGAAGCTTAATCATTATTGTGATGAATTAGGTACATCTTAACATAGGCTTTAAGATAAAGCAGATCTTGCTTGTAAGATTGACACCCAAGAAAGTTCATTTGAAGTATTTGGCCACAAGTTAGAGAGGATGGTCCAAGGATATGACATATTATGTGGGCAAAAGGAAAGAACTGATGCTGTGGGCAAAACCAGGATGCTATACTATGTGGTTTATCAATCTTAGACAACAAAAGGCTCAAATTTGGACTCACAGATTGAAAAAAAAGATGTCTGTTGAGAATACAAAATATGTCAAAGGACATGGGATAGCTTTTTCTAAATATAAACCTAGTGTAATAAAGTTCAGGCATTAGAATATACATATAGCTCTCTTTGGAAAAGGCACGTTCTTTCACAGTTCCTCGTTAGGACTGTCCAGAAGTAAGATAGTCCTCGAAAATGAGCAGTTGAGTGTAGACCGTAGATCCCATGATTTTATTTGATTTGTCTGTGAGTATGAAGGTGAAGTCATTGTTAACAATCTTCGATTGATAGTCAATTTTATCAATTTTTTCGGCTATATATATGTATTGGATGACCTCTGTTACTTTTACGACCGAAGGTTTCTTATCCTATTGTTTCAGTCTCGTATCCTACACCATGAATGGTTACAGGTGCCCATGTGTGATACTTAAATCACTTAATACTAAATGGAGAAGCAAAAGTTGACTGATCCATGTCAAATGCTTTTTATGAAATTGGAACCTCTAAAGAGTGAAATGACATACTGTTCAACAACTGTGGATCACATTGATATTTATTTTGAATGTTAGATGTGCTGGAGATCTTAAAGGGAATTTTAGCATTAATGCATATATGTGTTCATACTTTATAGTAGAAATTATAATTTGGCAGCTCTTTTACTATTAGTTTGCCAAGGTGCATAGGCTCTATGCTTCATAGTTGGTATCGTTCGTGATGAACTAAACCTACTTTATTTATTGAATTGTTCACAAAGGCTGCATCTTGTTCTAAGTGTTGGATTTAGCAATCAGGCTATTTATAAACTTAGTTTTAATGTTCTATACATTGAATGTTTTACAGGTAAGTTAGAGGCTATGTTGCTAGAAGCAAAGGGTTGTTGGGAAGAGGCAGAAAGTGCTTACTCAAGTCTTCTTGAAGACAATCCACTTGATCAAGTAATTTTCATTTGCCTTGGTTGCCTACACCCTTCTGTTTCTCATCACTGTTGCATCTATTGGACCTTTAATGAGCTGATACCTGACTGCCTGTGATTTGTCTTGTCTGTTACAGAAGCAGTCAGTTTTGGGAACTTATTTTATTTCTGAAGCAATCACATTAATAATCTTTTCTCTGTAGGTGGTCCATAAAAGAAAAGTGGCCATGGCAAAGGCTAATGGTGATCTACTTAAGGCCATTGAATCCCTTAACAAATATTTGAAAGTGTAAGGCTCTTGCATCAGATTATTGCTGATGGTTTATCTCTACTTTGCTACTCCCTCCAATTGAAATGATAGCCACAGATTACTTTTGTGTTTATCGTAGTATTATACAGAGTGTCAAACTTTTTATTACAAATCAACAAATGTTTTTTTTTTCTTCTCTCCAAATTAAGAGCTATATACATGATAATCAGACTTTTGCATACCAGTTCTGTACAATCAACCAGAATTCTTAACATTTCCACTAAGAAAACTGGATTCTTCCTGCTTAGTTGCCAATGCATGTTTCTGTGATGTAAAGATAGCATGTCGTGACCATCTTAATGATGTGTCCTATTATTTTGAAATAGTAATTGTGTTTAATTTCCCCTCTTTTTGAAATAATTACAGTGTTTCTACAACTAAATGTATCTGAGATCTCGAGAAGTCATTCATTTGTGTCTTGTTTTTGCTAGATTTATGGCAGATAATGATGCATGGAGGGAACTTGCAGAAATCTATGTCTCACTGCAGATGTAAGGCATCTTGACTCGTAATTCATTCAAATTTATGTGCTTCCAACTTTACACTGCTCGACAAACTCCTTCCCTACTCATGCTTAACATTATGCTTTATGTAATTAGGTATAAGCAAGCTGCTTTTTGCTACGAGGAGCTCATATTAGCTCAACCCACAGTACCTATGTATCACCTTGCCTATGCTGATGTAAGTACTTTAACTCTTTTTCTAACCGTTCTTTTTTGGAGGATTTGTGTAATCTTACTGGAGAACCTTTGGGGAAGAAATGGAACCAGTAGAATTAACCTAGATAAGCCTGCATCCTGGAATTGTAGACCTGAAAGTCCTTTACATATTATTTGGGGGTAGTGGTGATTCTTCTCGAATCAAATCCCATAAAGTAAAGGGTAAAATTATGAGGGCTTGAGTGATTCCTAATCCTTGTTTCAACAACACCAATTTACCATGGAATACCTTGCAGTTCTGGAACAAAATTGTGCTAGTGAGTAACCTACAAATTTTTTGAAGTGGGTGGGCATGCAGTATAGTTATTTAGTAAACTATGTCAAATAAAAAATTAAGCAACGTTAAAATTGGGGATGTTTTGATTGTCAAGTGTGGATAAAGAGCATTTTTTTATCTCTTGATTCTTGAAGGCTTAAAGTTGTGATCTTCAAGTAAAAATGTGTATATAACAGCAAGCACCTTGCAGTATATAGTATAACATGAATTCACTTTTTTTTCATTATTGCTTCCTTCAGTTCCTTGCGTGTGGACTCATCACTAAGTGGTCCCAAACGTTTCTAAACCTTTGTATTTTGATGTTATTGACCCTACTATAATTGGTTCTGACTAAAGTGCTCAAAATTTTGACTAGGCAGGTTTTAGAGCGATATTCTGACTCAGCCCATAACGACCCTTGTTTATTGCTAACCCTAGTCTGACTCAGGCTGCTAACAATTTTGATTTGTCCGAAATGACCTGCCCCAACCCAATACAGGTTTTAGCCTTGTAGGAGAACTCAAATGAGAAGAATTATCATGGAAGGGCGGTATGTAAATCAGTGAGATATTCTATTGAAAAAGAGTGGACTGTCATTATGATACACTCATACACCCTGAATACCTATGGCTTCTGTTAACATATAGAATTGTATTAGCTATTAAATTATTGGATCAATAGTTTTGATTAGCTTATATCAGTAACATATTATTTAAAAGTGTCTATGAACCAGCAGCTTGGTAGGTATGTAAACATTTTTACTATTAAAACCCAATATGCTATTTTGAAACTGCTAGTTAGAACGGCATTTTGTAATTAGCATTTTGGGTATGCTAATACCTTTAATTACCAATCACTGACCTGGCCTATTTATTTTTGTCAAAATCCTGAATGGACTAATAGTCTAATACCCTCCTATAGCCAAAACCCTTTCCTTTTCTTCCTAGCTAGGGTTTGGGACACTGACATATGTGAAAGGGATCAGCTAGCCATATAAAGATTAAGGAAACAATAAGTCATTGCATATATAATTATCGATATATGTCGCAAATTTATTCTCACACTTTCAGCAATTCTTGTTTTGTTATGTTGTACACATGACCTAGAGGCTAGAACCCTAACATTAAGTGGCTTTACGGCCTTTACCTATGACTACAATTTCTCATCTCGCTGATTCTCTAATGTAGTGGAGACTAGGATCATGTATTGTGATAACAATTAACATGGCGTATCCAATTTTAATACTACCTCCGATTTTTATTAGTTGCAACTTTGAAATATTTTATATCTCACAAATAATTCCCCAAAGTTGCAACTAAAAAAATCAGAGCTAGTATTAATTTTCCAAGGGGATGGTGTATGTTTGCTCTTAGGACTGTTATGTGTTAGAGTTATTTCAAGGGATAAGATTCTTAAATATTTCACCCACTTTCCATTTGTTATCCTTGTTGACGATGGAATCACTGAATGGCCTGGTGCCTGATTGATGTTGACTTGTGTAATAGACTAACACTAACAAGGGTAGTTTGGGAATTTTAGTACTTTTAGGTTAGTAGCTCTTATTCCTAACTAAGCCTTAGTATAAATAAGGGATAGTATATGCATTTGCTATCATGTGAATTGTGAGGAAAAATGTTGAGAGTAGTAACCTCAAGTTACTAGGAGAGTGATAACCTAACGTTATCAAGAGAGTGATAGCCTTAAGCTATTAATCTATCCTTTTGTATCCAAATTCTGCCATTATTAATCTAAATTATCAAGCTTTTATATCTTAATTAGTCCTTAAATTAGAAAATCCTAAGTCAGTCCATAACAACTTGCATTATTGTTTTCACCTTACCTATAATCTGTTAAGAATGATATTTTTTCTGTTTAATTAATATGTTCGTTTTTCTTTTGCTACATAGGTGCTTTACACTCTTGGAGGATTGGAAAACCTTCAGACAGCTAAGAAATACTATGCTGCCACCATAGATTTTACGGGAGGCAAGAACACTAGGGCACTTTATGGTGTTTGCTTGGTCAGTTTTGTTCTTTCCCTCCATTCTTACCTCCTACATGGCATATTTATTTGTTTCATCGCCCATCACATCTAACATCTACATGCAAGTTGCTTTAAGTTGCTAATGATTTTCCATTAATCTAATTACAGTGTACTGCTGCCATTGGGCAGCTGGCCAAAGGCCGAAACAAGGAGGATAAGGAGAGTGAGTTGCATTCCCTTGCCGCCAAAGTCTTGGAGAGAGACTACAAATATAGGGCACCTGATAAGCTTCCTTTGCTGACATCTACCTTGAAAAACTTGAAACGTTAGTCATAGCTCTTCAATAATTGAGTTCTATGTTCATTTCATTGATATTCTAACAGCTATAGAGGCCACAGTATCATGTGATAATGGTGACATTATTTAAATTTTGTTTCCTATGCATTTTACTTTTATTCATTATGTTTTCTCTTTTCTTTACTAGTTTTGACCCGTTACAGGGCTTTTTTAACGATAATTCCGTTTGTCGGAAATTTACGCAATTGTGTTTAGAAGGATTTAATGTCGAAGTACTCTGTATGTCAATTAGATGTTTTTTTAGCTGGGTTAGCAGATGATTAATATGTTCTCTATTTATTTTGTACTCCGTATTATTTACATTCCTACGCAAAAGTGATAATTTCTAATAATGGTCCTAAGCTAATTATTAATTTGACGTAATATGTTGTGATTATCAATCATTGTAGTTGATTATTATTTTGACGTAGTTTGTTGTGATTATCAATCATTTTGCGTAACACCTGGGAAAGCATTTGGGATCTATTCGGCCAAGTTCTAGTTTTATGTCGTTATTCAAATTAGAGTGATTTCCAATCCATACAAAACACTTCACTAGAAAATGTCTAAAGCCCTATTCTCTTAATAAAAAATAAAGTACAATAAAAATCAATAATTTTAAAGATTATCAATTTAAAAAAAATAATTTCAGTTTAACAAAATAAGGTGAATAAAATAATCATACTAGATACTAAAGTAATCACCAGCATTATCCCTAAAGCACACGTAAAAAAAAAAAAAAAAAAACCCTATAAAATAGAAAAATAATAACAACTTAAATAAATAAAATATTTTCTTAATCGTCATCTATAAAATGTATATTCCCTTAAATCTTTAATTTAATCGTTAGCATATAAAATGTGTTGTTCGTTTTCTACTTAAAAAAAAGGATTTTAACTCAATTTTAAATTCATATAAAACATGTTTACACACTAAAATTAGTCGATAAGTACTCTACATTACCGTATCTATTTAAAAAAAAAAAAAAAAAATTTCCCTTGTGAATATCCGAGCGTTGCTCAGGTAAAGAACTAGTATGGCGAATAAAATAAAGTGTAAATTTCTTAATTAGCCCACATTCTGACAAAATTATCGGCATTCTTTCCATATCATCCGTTAAAAGCATTTTTTTTTTTTAAAACCGATTTAGACCAAAACCGCTAATTGAACTAGCATATATACCTTAAATAAAACCTCTAATTGAATAAGCGGGTGATGGGTTGTATCACCACTCGAATGCCCCCTAACCCATTACAAGATCCGTCCAGTATATGCTTCTACATGTTGGGTTAAGAATTATCCGAATTAATTATACTCTCGCCGTCCCATAACATACTCCAAATTAAATAACAAAAGAAAAGCTAATACACCTGGCTAAGGAAAAGAAGCCGTGCACAGCAGTTCATAAGACACAAAGATCCCGGCCTTCACACGTTCTTCTAAAGTATAAACACTGGTCACCCACACATACACTATTTCTTTTTCTCGATCGTCGGTCTCATTAACAAATTTCCCCCAATTTTTTTGCAACCACGATTCCCCCAAATCTCTGTATCCCTATTTTCGCTCTCATCTTTCCTATTTTCGCTACTCAATCGATCTAATTCTACTCTTTCACTCGTCAATTTTTCTGGGTGGAAGATCAAATCTAGGGTTTCGATCATCTTCACGATTTGTCAGCATGAATCAAGAATAGTATGTTCTCTTAATTTAGCTGATTATTGTTTATATTGTTATGAATTTTGGTTGATTTCAGTTGTAGACTGGATTTTAGGGTAAGGGTTTTCTGATTTGGTATTTTAATTTTAATTTTTTTTTTAATTGGGGCTAAATAGTGTAGGTTGTTTGGATGTTAGCAGAAGATTATGTAATTGTAAATAGGTGGACTTGTTTTTAATGATTATGTAATTAGTTATGGTTATGGTTTGTTGGTATTGTGCAGAAATTACAATGTATGTAAATAAATTGGTGAAAATGTAGTTCTTTGGATTGGTGGGTTAATATAGATGTTATTCTGTGATTATGTTATCTTTTTGAGTCTAAGACAATTGATTGATATGCTATGATTTTGATGTTGAACAATGTCTGTGGTGCAGTGATTACCTTTTTAAGCTTTTGCTTATTGGAGATTCTGGTGTTGGAAAATCATGCCTTCTGCTGAGATTTGCGGTAAAATGTTAGCTTTTGGTTTTGTTTGTATTGAGAAAATGGGTCTCGGCTCCTTTTCTGCTTCATGCTTCTTAGGAATGATTATTGTGTACTAATTGGAGCTTTAATGCTTCTCTTATGCAGGATGATTCATATGTCGAGAGCTACATAAGCACAATCGGCGTTGATTTTGTGAGTATATTTTCCTGATGTGGCAATGAACTACTTTCCTCCTTCCTCTACCCCGTTATAAAAAGTTATGTTGAGTAGATTTGATTTTTCTTTAGACTATTAGAACTGTAAATTTTACTTGGTGTGAAATAATGATCTGTTTCATGTTCTAGTTATAGGACATTGTTATATAACCCTATATCTGGAAATTGAGACATTAATTGGTGATATTGAACATCCGAACATGTTAGGGCTATTAGTCAGCTAAGTGAGGTGATCCTTGCTTTGGTATTATTAGCCGGTTGTTTGTAGGCATAAAGATTTATTCTACCCATTGCTGTAATGTCACATTTGTATATTAAATGTGATTAAAGAGGGCTAAGGTACTTTGAGTCTTTGACTAGTTAAAATAGAGTTGTTCAGTCTAAGATGTTATTCCTAAAAGGGTAAAATTTAGTCCTTTCTTTTTTTTTTTTTTTTTCCTCTTTTCTTGTCTTTTCATGTATTTACTCTTTCTTATCTTTACGTCCACTCTTTGAAGACTGAACAATGATAATTATTTAAGTAAAATATTTCAAAGACTAATTCTTTTGATTTTTTTTTAAGTACTGGAATATATGAGTTGTAAAATGTTAGTGTCCTTGCTTCTAGATATCTAATGAATTTTTTTAACTGTGTTTTATATATATATATATATATATATATATATATATATATATATATATATATATATATATATATATATATATATATACAAAAAAAACAAACAAAAAAAAAAAAAAAAGAAAAAGAAAAAAGAGAAAGTGTCGGATTTACTTTACTGATCAGTTTTCTGAAATAATTTTCTTTTGTAGAAAATTCGTACAGTCGAGCAAGATGGGAAAACCATTAAGCTTCAAATTGTAAGTATTTGCATTTTTGCAGTTGCTATGTGAATTATAAGCTTGGAAACAGACTTTGATGTCACTCTTGCCCAATATAGTGGGATACTGCAGGACAAGAGCGTTTTCGGACTATTACAAGTAGTTACTACCGTGGTGCTCATGGAATCATAGTAAGCTGATGAATCTTTGTATTCTATCTAAAAGTCATAGTGCCTTGTTAATGTTTGTGTTTTCTTTGCATTAATGCGATGTTTCTTTTAGATTGTGTATGATGTAACAGATCAACAAAGCTTTGATAATGTCAAGCAATGGCTGAACGAAATTGATCGCTATGCAAGTGACAATGTTGTCAAAATTTTGGTCGGAAACAAAAGTGATTTGACTTCTAACAAGGTGGTTTCATATGAAACAGCAAAGGTATTGTTAGCCTACTCTTGCACTTTGATTTTATTTCATATATTCATTCCGAGGTATTTGGTGTTGGATCAGCCTGCTCTGATGAACCATCATTTAGGTCAATGTTTTTTTCTGTCTGCAAAAGTGAAATTTTGAGAGAAGATCAATGTTTCCATCTCACCCTTTTGGAAGAGTGTGTGCTTTTTGAAAACCTAAGTGTCACCTTTTCTTGCTGCTGACCATTTATCCCACTTGTCATCTGGTGCCATTGAAAGACAAATGTAGTCCCTAGTGTTGAAAGTGTCTTCTAGCATCTTGTTAGTCAATTTCCAATATGAAGGACCCTATAAAGAAAAAAGAACCTATATTTTGAAAAGAGTCGTCCTATCAGCATTTAGCAATATGCTGATCATTGAAACTGGCCTTATCCAATTGTAGGAACCATGACTAGCTATGTTCTTTTTGTAGGATTTTTTTTTGTTGTTTCAATTGTGGGTTAAAATTAGTGACATTTGTCTCATGGAGCTCAAGTGGAAGTCATTTTGATCGGTGGAGGGAATGGTTTTTGTGTATGGGAACATCTATTGCTATGACCTATTGGTATGACTTATGATACATTGAACATAGGGAAAGCACATCCAAGATAAGATTTCTTTTGACCATTTGGCTTTTTGAAATAGTTAAATTGGAATTGGTGTTATTTTGATGAATTTATTTGATAATGAGGTGTTTGAAAATTAATTATGCTTCTTATCTTTTGTAAGGCATTCGCTGATGAGATTGGAATCCCATTCTTGGAAACAAGTGCTAAGAATTCAACAAATGTAGAAGACGCATTCATGACAATGGCTGCAGAGATAAAAAAAAGGTTAGGTTTCGCTTTCTCTTTTTTGAGATAAACCAAATCAATATTGTCATCATCATTTTTTCGAAAGCTTCTATATAAACTAAGTCCTATAATGTTTACAAGATGGATTTGACCAAATATGATGATGTATGACCTTGTATACGTGCTGGATTTTTTTATTCAACTTTGGAAAAAGCCCTATATCAAAAGTCTGCAGAGTAATTGTTTCAGATTACAAGATTAGGTGGTTAACACTTAGCAGTCTGAAGAGCATATTGTGTTATGGCTTGGCTATGTTTTTAATCCATTTTTGGTTATTGATTAGATTTCTGCTTCACTGTACTGTCCTACACTTCTAATTGATGAATTACCCTTTTGTGGCTGGATAGTTGTAATGTTTTCTAAAATTCACTTTTTCCGTATGTAGAGTGGCAAGCCAACCAGCATCAAGTGCTACCGGACCAACAACAGTACCAATCCGTGGGCAGCCTGTGGGACAGAAGTCCAACTGTTGCTCGTGATTTATGGGTCTTTCTGTTATGCTTTTAATCAGGGCATGCCATAGAGCAGGACTGCACAACCAAAGAAAAGTGACAGGGTGTGTTGTTCATCAGTCTTATTGCAAGTTTCATGTCTGTATATTATGTTTTACTCGATGAAATTGATGTGTGATCTTTTATGTGTTGGATAGATCTTTTATGTGTTGGATAGAATTTAAATTTGTTATTCTCATCAACAGTAGCTTGATATACACTTAAAAGTGGTGGTTGTTCTGGACCCAATGAAACTGTTCTATTTGCTTTTAAGCATCTAACTTGGATCTTTTAAATTATGTTATTTAAGATTATTACCCATATATCCTTTGTCATGAAGACAAATGGTAGCCTGGGTGGTGAACTACGGGTTGATTCTCAGATTGATCCTTCCTCGAGCAGAGGGTAGGGAGTCTGTATTAGCTTTTACTTGTGCCCTATGTAGCTATGCTCAAGTAAGTGAACAAAAAAGGAGATCAACTGCCCCTCTGACTGAGAAATGGTTCTGGAAATCGTCTAGCACCAGACATCCCTATCTGGCCACTAGAAAAACTCTCCGGTCTCCCCATTATAATACTACCGTTTTAAAATAAAAGTTACACTGGTTGGGCTTTCAATTAAGGAATAGGCGAGGTTACAGTTCAACAGATGAGAGGAATCATGTGATGAGTACCAAAAATGGGTTTTAGCAATTAACTAGTTTGTGGCCCGGGCATGTCCCGGATTTTTCTTTAGTGATAATAATATTTTGTAAACAATATATATATATATATATATATATATATATATATATATATATATATATATATATATATATATATATATATATATATATTGTTTTTGGGAAAAATATATGGGTGGAAAGAAATGCATTAGTTGCTAGTTTTAAAATTAAAAAATAAACAACTCAGAATGACTTACTTAACAAAAGAGAGGAAAACCACAAATATGCAATTAGGTCTTCAACAATTTTAAATAGCATATAAGTAGGCATAAAGTAATTAGCACCAACAACAAATACTCAACACAAAATAAACTTTAGGCTAGACCTGGCAAATGGGTCATTCGGGTTGGGTATGGGTCGGGTCAAGTTCAAGTTAAAAGGTTATCGGGTCAAGTTTGGGTCGGATCGGGTCATTTTGGGTTTCGGGTTGATTTCGGGTCGACTGATAATCGGGTCGGGTATCGGGTTAACACTTCGGGTCGAGTTCAGGTCGGGTCAAGTTTGGGTCGGGTCAATTTTCGGGTCGGGTCAGTTTAGGTCGGGTCAATTTCCGAGTCATCTTTGGGTCGGGTCAACTTCGAGTCAAGTCATATTTGGGTGATTCATTGGGTTAAATTCAACTCTGTATATATATTTATTTATGTATTTTTTTGACGAAAAACTCACTATATTTATTAAGGCTATTTTTTTCATGGATTATAGTAATTGTTTGATTTTTATTAACCTTTTTTTTTTTTTTTTTTTTTTTTTTTTTTTTTTTTTTTTGTGTTTAGACTGAGAATCCCTTTCAAGATCTCCTAAAACTAAGAGGGATACTCTACTAACTAATTGAGTTATACCTCACTCTCTTATTGATCTTAGTTATAATACGTACTCTTATTATCATTGTCATTGTTGTAATAATTTCTTTGAATTATTCTTATACTCCCTCCGTCCCAAATTACTCTTAACGATTTGACATTTTGCACTATTCACATATCTCACTTTGATCATCTTTTTTAGCTATATATGAAAATCAATGTAGTCATGTAAGATTAGTTGGGTCTATTTTAATGTATAATTTCCTAGTATAAACTTTTTATAACTTATATAATTATTTACTAAAAGAAGTTAAAGATCGGGTCATTTTCGGGTCGGGTCAACTTCGGGTCTCGGGTCAACTTCGGGTCTCGGGGTAACTTCGAGTCGGGTCGTTTCGAGTCAACTTCGGGTTGGATCATTTCGGGTTTCGGGTCAAGGTCGGGTCAGTTCCACTTCGGGTCGGATATGGGTCGGGTTGGGTTAATTCGGGTTTTGGGTCAATTTCGGGTCACTGGTTTTGGGTCGATTTCGGGTCATAGGTCGGGTCATTCGAGTCAGGTTATCGGGTCTGGGTCAGGATTGCCAAGTCTACTTTAGGCTACGTATCAAAAATATTTATAAAAGGAAGAAATAATGGTATGAATTTATTTTTTGGCTGTAATTGAAAACATCTGTTACAAAAATTAACAAGTAATGAGCAACGTTATGTATTTAAGGCTATATATAAGGATTAACAAGTAGAGAGGAAAAAAATGTCTAATCGTTGCACATAATATATAACTGAGGTAGTATAAAATTAGGAATTATAAAAACACGCGTAAATCAGTGTTATTAGTGTTTATATTTTGATGATTTTATAACTTTTTACGTTTTTTAAAGGTAAATTTAATGTTTATATGTAGTCCTAACATTTATCAAGAAGTAAGACCCTTCAATTCTTTAACATGTGATGGTGACATGGTGTGATGGTGGTGGTTATGTAGAGGGACCAATATTTTGAGGACACTAAAAAAATGGTGGTTCTAATGCCCACAATTTGTCTTAGGTTGTGTTTGGATACTCGCATTTCATTTGAAATCATTGATTTCAATTCCAGAATTTCTATTTTTAGAATTTATTTCCAAGTTTCTTGTTTGGCAAATTAAGAGTTTCAAATTTGGAATTTCAAATTCCAAAAACTTGTTTGGGGAAACAAAGAAATTCAGATCCTTTTTCTAATCTTTGTTTTTTTTTTTTCTTTTTTTTTTCACCATTAATTTCCAGAATTCTGTTTTGCTTTTTTATTTTCCCTAAAATATAAATTTTAGCAGAAGATAAAGCCGAGCGAAGAACGAAATTAAACAATAAAAAATTAGGGGAAAATCAAAACCCTAATTTCATCAAATTGACAAAATTAAGCAACCAAAAATTAGGGGAAAATCGAAACCCGAATTTTATCAAATTGACAAAATTCAACAACCAAAAATTCTGAGAAAATCGAAAGCTTATCACACAGATAAAAAAGAGGGTAAGAGTAGAGAAATTCAAAAGCCACTACAAAGGAGGATTAAGGTACACTTTAATCAAGGATTAAGGTACACTTTAATGGAGGATTCAAGGTACGCTTCAATGGCGAAGAAAGCTCAAACGCCGCTACAATGGAGGATTAAGGTACGCATCAATGGCAGAGAAAGCTCACACATCGCTTCAATTGAGAATTAACCGAACACGTTGACGAAGGAAAGGAAGCTCACTAGTTACTTTAATGGAGAAGAACATGTTGCTTATAGTAGAGAAGTCACGATCTTCATCAATGGAGGAGAGAGAAAATAGAATACCCAGCCCTTAGGAGAGAGAATTTGGGAAATTAGGCATAGGAGAAAGAGTAGGGCTTTTTTTTTTTTTTTTTTTTTTTTTTTTTACTGAATGTTGGAATTTGGAATGACAGCTTTATAATTGGAATTTCAATTCAATCAAAATTAACTTAAGTTTTAATAAACTTGGATTTGGGCCAAATCCAATTTCCAAATTAGAGTTAATCCAAACAATGTAATTGGGCAAAATCCAGAATTTCAAATGAAATTATGGTTCCCAAACAGGCCATTAAACGGATCACTATGCCCTTCTCCTTGTCAATACCCGCATCAGTGTTTTGCAGAATTTTTCAGAAATTGTACTAAACAAAATAACATTCATCATCATCACCATAATTATATAAAAAATTCTCCACATGCTCCATGATTCATAAAATGGGTATCGAAAAACAGGGGAAGTCAGATGTCAATAAACCAAAATCAAGAAATTTAACAGATTCCTTTGAAAAATTGACATTAATATCCCAATAAACCTTCAATTATTGTAATTTAATGATTAATAGCTCTCCCCAACCGTTAACCCCACCGTCATCACCATCTCCTTTTGAAACCACCCGCGGGGAAAAGACTTTTTTTTTTAAACAAATCAATTCATTAATAAAAAGTCATCTGACATCTACAAATGAAATATAAATTAACTACATAAAATTGAATCAAATTAGGTTTTCCTTCAGCAGAGCTACGATCGTTGAAAAGATCTTGCACTGTGGTACATCTCTCGCACACAAAGCAGGAATATACATTCTTTTCGGAGAGACGACCGTCTAACGATTTGTTGTAGCCGTAAGGATGATTCTCATCTGATTCGCCTGAACGCATTTGAAACTTTGTCAACCGTTGACCCGCCGGAAAAGACTTGGGGAAACGGACTTAAACAAATAAATTCGTTACAACCTCTAGAGTCCACCGTGCTACATAGTAAAAAAACTGAGATAGAGTTCAAATATCATCAATCATCATACACAAAGTATTATAATTGTTAATATGTTATATTTCTCTTCCTCTTTGCCTTGAACACCTTAATCTCATTAATGGGGTTGGCTACATGAACCAACATGAGAGCTTTCCAGAAGGTCATCCATCCTAGTACTACTCTCAATCATTGTGACTTATACCAAGGGATGTGATAAAGTTTTACACTGGCTGTCACTAGCCTACCGTAACCCTAATCCTTTATCCAAGCTTGGGACTGGCAATGGAAAACCCACTGACGGAGTTTATATGTTACGGAGTATATTTCTCTAAAAACTTTTATATTTCAATAATTAATAATACCGAGCTTGGCTCGATTATTATCTAGCTGTATGTCAATATGTAATCAATGAAGAGCTAAAATACAAGTACCGACACAAAGTCATACATGTTGGTAGTTGGTTTGAACCACAATTGTATTCATCCTTTGTGGTTTTCTGAGGACTCATTATCTACTTATACGGAGTTAGTTATAACTATCACTGTCAATTCAGTTCTTTTTTTAGCAGCAAGCTTATCATATTCCATGCACATCCAGCAATAACAAGTTAACAACATTAGCAGTTTTAGCACAACATACCCGTCCAACCGTCCCATGGACACCCCTCACCACCACGTCGCGGTTTGCGCATTCCCATTCGGAACCCATGCTGCCCCTCTCCTCCATCTCATAAAACACCTCGCATCCGCTTCACTCGACACCCGCTTCTCCTTTATCAACACTGTTAAATCCAATTCTGCATTGTTCAGCACCAAGGATGCTACTAACATTATTCCATGAAACCTCGAGGAAAAGAACAATGAGGCGGGGGGTAACCCTATTGAGGACTTCATTGTTTCTGCGCCGTCGAATATCCGACGGCGAATGGAGGAGGCTGAGGAGGAAGTTGGTGTGAAGATTAGTTGTGTGATATCTGATGCATTTCTTTGGTTTTGTTGTGAGATTGCTGAGGAGAAGGGTTTGTCTTGGTTTCCTATTTGGACTGCTAATGTTGTTAGTCTTTCTGCTGCTTTTTATACGGATGTTCTTCGGACTAAATTTGGCGTTCTCAAACAAGGTATTCTATATATATACTCCCTCCGTTCCATATTAATTTTGTGTTAAGAAATTTAATTATATAATCGTATTTTTTATGAAAATGTGACAGCTTTTTTGTACATCTGTCATTGATTTATGCTATTTATAATAAGCTTTATGAAAATTGATGTTCATGCCAAAAGAATCAAGCTTCTAAATTACCTTAGGTTCTTAAAAAAAACAGAAATTTTGTCAATTGAATTGATTATTGAAATAAATTGAGGATAATAGAGCCTAAGAGTCTAAAAAAATGATCTTTAAGAATATTCTCCTTATCTTTTCAATTAGGATCTTGCTAACGAATTTATTTGAGCTTATCCGTTCATTAGATTTTCACTTATCTGTATTTATTAACTGAACATATTTAAACTTATCTGAACTTAACTTAAGTTATTTGAATAATTTTTTTTTTAAGTTGTAATTTGAACTTGGGTAACTCTTATCGGAACTTATTTTTTTTCCTAAACGGAACTAATTTGAATTTGTCTTAATTTATTTGAACTCATCTAAACTTATTAAATCTGAAATAAGTGAAAAATAAAATGAACATAACCGGCCTTAAAAGTAGTATATAAAATGATATTAATTTAGAAATGCATGCCAAAATCACACGTCGATTGGTATAATTAATGTTTAGTTCAATTTAACAAATTTACTTTTAGTTATTTTATCCAACGCCTCCGGGGCGTTCGTTAAGGTTTGCCTTTTCTAATACTCTTATCACAAAAAGAAATTGCGTTTCTTTGCATTTTTTTTTATTTGGGAGCTAAGTGGCTTCTCGTTTGCTGTTCTTTGTAAATAATTCAGTTTAACAACGATGAAATAAAATTCTTTGAAACATTCTTTATTTGTAACCTTTCACCGGGAATCGAAGGCCGCGGAGATGAACTAGTAGATTGTGTTCCTGGATTTTCGAATGTACGCCTTAGAGACATAGTAGATTGTGTTCCTGGATTGGTTACAGAAAGTATAAACTCGATTTTCGATCAAATGGTATACAAAATGGGACTAATGTTGCCTAAAGCCAAAGCTGTTGTCGTAAACACTTTCGAGAAATTATCACCCACAATCACCAATGACCTCAAATCCAAAATGAGGTTGCTCTGTGTTGGACCGTTCCCTTTGATGTTTCCATCTGAAGTCGTTTTCGACAAATATGACTGTCTTCCTTGGCTAGACAAACAAAAGGAAAAATCTGTTGTGTACATTAGCTTTGGCACAGTAATGGCACCCCCGCCACACGAGTTTGTAGCCCTTGCAGAAGCTCTAGAGTGTGCAGGTTTCCCTTTCTTATGGTCGATAAATGACTCGAATAAGGGGCACTTACCATCATGGTTCATAGACCGCGTTAAGGAAGATGAGGCTTTTGGGAAGATAGTGCAATGGGCACCACAAATGAAGGTACTAGGACACCCTTCCGTAGGAGGGTTTGTAACACATTGTGGCTGGAACTCGGTCTTAGAGAGTATTGTGAACGGGGTGCCTCTTATATGTAGGCCGATGCTTGGGGATCAGAGGCTGAATCAACGGTTTATTGAGTGCATATATGAATTCGGGGTTGGAGTTGAAGGCGGTGTTTTCACTAAGGGTGGGATGATCAAGGCATTGCATCGAGTTTTGTCGAGCAATGAAGGGAAGGAGATGAGGAAGAGTGTAGATGTGCTTAGAGAGTTGGCTGAAGAAAGTACTAAACAAGGTGGTAGCTCACTTGAGAACCTTAATGCTTTGATAGAACTTGTTTCGGGGTTTTCTGATGTCCTGCGGGAGAGTTACAATTTCAAGACTGGAACCGGACGCCTGTACCTGCAAAACAACAGAGACTCATGGTGGTGGGAGCTCCGCCTCCGACGGTCAAGTTAGTACTTGATTAAGGAGTAATTAATGCGGAAATTAAAGTGATTGGGTCTCTCTAGGTGAGAGTGTTTAATGTGTGTAATCTGCGTTTTTAGCGTGTTCCCCCTCTTAATGAGGATTAAGGGAGGTATTTATAACCTTGGGAAACGTGCCAATCCTAGGTTTAGGTTAACCTAGGGCTGATTGGGCTTCCCTCGGAAGTTGGGCCTGGGTGGCCGGTTTCTCCATTAGGCATGGAGTATGCCACGTGTCATGACATAATATATCCAAGGTGGACGAATAAGCGTGTGCCATGTGGCAAGCCCTGACAGTTCCAACTGGGGGACACTTGGCAGGACCTGATTGGCCCACGTGGCGCATTCCGATTGGGGGGAGCAAAATCCCCTAATCATTTGCCCCTCACAGGCGGCACGTGACTGGTCACGTGTTACCTGTGACAGGTGTCGCACTGTAACAGGCGACGGCCTGCTACAGGTGTCAGTCGGCGAAAGGCTGAGAGATTCTCCCGCCCAAATTATGAATTCTGGAAGTGACCCTTCGCCTTCTCACTTCGCCTATATAAGGGAGTGTTGACTTCAGTCATTTTCACACTTGAGAACTTTGTGAGAGAACATTCGGACCCCTGAACTTGCTCTGACATTTTGGACCCTTTCTGCCTACCGCCTGCTTTGACAAGCCGACTACAAAGGATTTTCAGAACTTCATCAATCGTCACTCGTTCAGGTAACCGTCGGTTCTCTTACTCTTAATTTTCTCTTTACTTTATTCTTTTTTGAAATGGCACCACGGAAGCACACGACACGACCTAGGTTAGTGATCAGCCGGTCACCGGGGACGGTTGAATCTAGGACTAGGAGTGCCGCCTGCCCTTTTCTGGACCCATCTTTGCCCTTTATACAAAGTCCGACTGTATCTGTGTCTATGCAGAGCATGATGGCCAGGACAAAAAAGACTGCCAAGATCTCAAACTCAGACGGCTCCTCCCACAGGGTGCCGATTAGTGAAACATCTGACCAGGCGCCAGATGTGGAGGTGAAACAAAGCGGCTTGAAAGCCGGCAGTTCTGAGGGAGGAGTCAAAGTGACCCCTTCCCATTTTACAGTTGACAATTCTTCATTCTCTCCTGCTCCTTTTAAAGGAGAGGAGGCGGGCCCCTCTGGGAGAGGGGAGGAGTCGTCCTCTTCGGACTCGTCAGAGGACGATTCCGAGTCTAGCTCTTCTGGCCATGCTTCCCTGGACACAGAAGAGAAAAACAGTCGCCTGCAAGAGGCGAGGCTTTCTCACGCAGTTGAGAAGGGGGACGATTGGGCAGAGCCATCCGCCTCTCACCGAGAGCAAAATACCCCCTACTACTGCACGGTACCTCGGGGCCGGATCACAGCCATGCAAGAGAAAGTGGAGAGCTTTATCGCAAACCACACAATGGGCCCCGGCTTTTTAGTGTTTGTGCCGGATCCAGAAGACACAGTCGTCTGGCCGGCTGGTACCAGTTATGATAGCGCCTGCTTTGGCTGCTACGAGGCGGCCATCAAGGCTGGGTTGCGCTTCCCACTACATCCGGCTGTTCAGCGGATCTTGGATGGGTATGAGTTGGGGTTATGGCAGTTAGCCCCGAACTCTTGGGTCAACGTACTCGGCTATGTGGTCGGGTGCGAACTGCACGGGGTGGTGCCGAGCTTCGAGGCTTTCGCCCACATGAACTACCTCAGCCGGACCCCTAAGGCAGGCGGTACCGGCTGGTATCAATTGACGAGCCACAGGGGCTACCTCATGACGAGAGGTAAAGCAAACAAATGGAAGGACTGGCGGAGCACCTTCCTCATCATTGAGAGTTCAGACACAGAGCTGAACAAGCGCTTCAACAGGTGGAACAGGAATCCGCCCCTTCTTGCAGGCGGCCGCAGCATGCCGCCTGTTCCCCCCAAGGCTAAGAAAGAGATCCTAGATAAAGGACTCTTCAAAGTAGAGTCGAAGGTGAACTCTACTTCAGGGGTAGGAGAGCAAGTACCCCTGCACTGCGTCCCGAGCTTCAAATGGCTCTACGACGAGTACTTTTTGGCCGCCTGTGGCCTCAGCAGTCGGTGCTCAAGAGGTAGCCGGCCTGTCGAATACTCTGCTGTTCCGTGCATTTCTTGTTATGACTTATTGACTTTGCTATTTGTTTTTGCAGCGGACGCCATGAGCAAAATTACCGCCTCCAAGACTGCGGCGACCATGTTGCGGGCCTCCATCATGCAACGGTCTTCAACCGACTCCCCCAACAAGGGGGCACCCTTGGTGGGCTTCGAACCCTTTCACCCTCTTTTTGGAGTTGTGTTTATGCATATACTGACTCTTTTCTTATTTTTTAGACGGGCGCTCCAAGAGCTTCTTCTTCCCTAAGCCGGACCCCAAGGCCCAGAGGACGACTGTTGCGAGCTCTCCTGGTTCTGCCAGGAAACATGCGGCGGCTGAGAAACAGCCGACCACTTCTTCTAAAACTCCGGCTGGACCACCTAGAAGTATGAAATTGTCCTTGTAAATTTTAGACTTGCTCCCTTCTTTACTAGGTCTAATCCGTTTGTTTATGCTTGATGCAGCCGGCCCTCAGGAGCCTGACTTGGTCTAGGTGGCCAAGTCTATGATCAAGGTCGTTCCTCCAGCTGAAAGGGAGGCGGTCAGGGGTGTCGGCACCCTTGACCTAGACGGGATTGCAGGGGTCCTTGCTGAGGTATACTTAGCATATTTTTGAGTATTTGATTTCCAGGACGCCTGTTTTCTTTTTGTTTGCAAACTGACGCCTGTTCCCCTTTTTACTTAGGCCTTGCTCCGAGTGAACGGCCTTCGCAAGCCGCTTGACCGGAAGAACAAAGAGGTAAAGGCTGCAAAAGCTATGGCCGCCTCTGACTGTGATAAGGCAATGTTTCAAATTGCCCAAAATGAAGTTCTGACCATTGATATTCTTTATTATCAGGCGCAGGCTACCGCCGCTATCCGGGCTCAGTTAGAGGTGGCCCAGAAGAGGAATAGCGAGCTAGAGGCGACCATCAACAACCTCAAGGCCGAGCTGAGACCTCTTCGCCAAAAGATGTCCTCATACGAAACCTTGGAGAAATCCTTGGCGAGCGTAAAGGTACGCCTGGTGACCCAGGAGAAGAGTCTTACTCAGGAGCTCTCGGAAAAGGCCGAGCAAGAAAAGAAAGAGCTGGTCCGAGAGATGATGGAAGACTCTGCTCAAATCCAGCGCATGACTTGGGGCCGCCTCTTCCCCAATGCTGACTTTGCCTCATGGGAAAAAACGTACCGCCAGTGTTCTAATAGATATAATCAAGAGATCCTGGCGGCTGCTGAGGAGGAGGCGTTGGAGGAGGCGTTGGAGGAGGAACAGCCGGTAGTGGCGCTTGTGCCGCTTGGGGGTAATGTATCAAAGGATGCAGCTGAAGCCGAGTCCAGCAAGAAGAGTGCTGACCAGGCGGCAGCTGCTAATATTGAAGATCTGCCCCCTTCTTAAGCTTTATGTCTTCTTTCCACGGCCTGCGTGCCGTTTGTTTGTATTTACCCGGCCAGGAGGCCGGGGCTCTGAATATTTTGCCGGTCTTTAATGACCGGCTTCTTTTTAATGAATTTTTTTTTTGTTTTGCTTCAAATTTGTTTAAGTATTGAATATTCTGATATCCAATTGTACACTATACCGACTGTTTTACATGGCCGATAGTTGCAGATAGGTACGGATAGTTAGTCACGCCGCCTATGCCCCTGGACGACTGGTTGTCTGTTTCCAGGCTAGACGATCAGTCGGCCATTTATCCAATCGGTATTCGAACCATTTTAAAGACTGGATCCCCTTTAGGCAGGCGGTCCTGTCATTTGTAAAATTAACCAAGTAGGAAAGTGGTTTGACCAAGTAAACATGGTTGTTACCTAGTCGCCAAGTAACTGAGTAGTAGAGGTATCAAGCGGTTGGTACCGGTTGTTCCCCTTCAACCGCTTTTAACTCATAGGTTGTTAACCTAGCAGGAGTAGTGGTTGAGATCCCCTGTTTGCTAAAAACAGGCGGACGATTCATAACTTTTAGGCTCCATACTAAGTTTGAGAGAGTGACTATGAGTTAACTTTGGTGTTACTCAGTCGCCGTCACTCCTGCTTGAGTAGTAAAGGTACCAGGCTGAACCTTTTGATTCGCCAATGTTTGTTGGCTATTAAATCAAGAGGTACCCCCTGCATTTATCCCAAGTAATACAGGCGGTCATCTGACTCAGATGTCAACTGCTACCACTGGTTTGGTTAGTGATAGAGTTATCCTTGTCTCAAAAACGGCTACGTGGTTGCCCTTGGGGGCAGTCGCATAGGTGTCGTGTAATTAGTTTATAGAGAAATGTTCCACCCAAAAGGGAGCTGCTCTCTGCGACGAATTTCATCCGGAGGGATGCCGCCGGACGCCTGCTATGATGTTGGGACAGGTCGTATTAGTTTTGAAGATTGGATCAGTTGGCTTGGCGCCTGGTCTGATCATTCGGCCTGTGGCCTTGGTTAGTTCTTGGTGAACGTAGGTGCTAAGTAAAAGGAGGGTAGCCGCCTGTTTAGGCACAGGGTCGGCCAGGCCCTGATCATTTTTAGTTAAGTATAAAGGGGGGGTGGCTGTGTGTTTGGAACCAGTCGGCCCTCTTCTATGGAGAGTAGCCGACTATATGTCCAGACGGCATGCCCCTATGGTGATAGAGTAAAATATTCAATGGAGAGTAGCCGACTGTAAAGGTACAGGCGGTATGCCCCTCTGAAGATAGAGTAAAATACTCAATGGAGAGTAGCCGACTGAAAAGGTACAGACGGCATGCCCCTCTGAAGATAGAGTAAAATACTCAATGGAGAGTAGCCGACTGTAAAGGTACAGGCGGCATGCCCCTCTGATGATAAGAGTAAAA